GCTGTCCATCTGGGATTTGGCCACGCCCACTCCACGAATCAAGGCCGAATTGACGTCCTCGGCTCCGGCCTGCTATGCTCTGGCCATCAGTCCAGACAACAAGGTCTGCTTCTCCTGCTGCAGTGATGGAAACATCGTGGTCTGGGACCTGCACAACCAGACGCTCGTCAGGTATTTTCAGACTCCTGCTGGTGAGATAGACCATGTTCTTCATCCTGATGTCATGTGATGTCCTTGTGTCGCCCTCTATAGGCAGTTCCAAGGTCACACAGATGGAGCCAGCTGTATCGATATTTCCAATGACGGGACCAAACTGTGGACGGGGGGTCTGGACAATACAGTGCGCTGCTGGGACCTGAGAGAGGGCCGACAGCTGCAGCAACATGACTTCACCTCACAGGTACTGCAGCTCAGAAGGAACACAGGAGACTAAAGAACTAAAACATCTTGCTCAAAACACCACTGTGGAGTCATTAATAATAAAATGGAAACATTTATTGGCAACGTAAATTCAGTCATCGTGCCTTTATATTCCAAATTTTCGAACTTTTATGTACTAAAGGTACTTGGTGTCCATTTTTCTGTCTGCAGGCATATTTTTATGTGTTGGACCTTTTATAGAAGTTTTTTTATGTGCGTGCAGATCTTTTCTCTGGGTTATTGTCCTACGGGCGAGTGGCTAGCAGTGGGGATGGAGAGCAGTAATGTGGAAGTGCTGCACGTCTCCAAACCAGACAAATACCAGCTGCACCTTCACGAAAGCTGCGTTCTCTCGCTCAAGTTCGCCTACTGCGGTACAAGTCATTTGTATAGTGCCACTCTTTGAAACTGCTCCGTGCTGCCCATGTATTCCTATGGGCCTTCATTATTTATGGTTATTTAAAATAAATGCTATTAGATGGCACAAGATGTGATTGAATCTTCTTTGTATTTCAGGGAAGTGGTTTGTAAGCACGGGAAAGGACAATCTGCTCAATGCATGGAGGACGCCATATGGAGCCAGTATTTTCCAGGTTTGTTCCAAACCCATGTGACTTTCTTTCTTCCTTAGATATGTCTTTTGATCTCCTAAACCTTTAAATGCTGCTACACTATTAACATATCAGAATAATAGAGCAGCTGTACGCAGACAGGTAATAGCGATGGAGAAAGAACAAAGCTTATTTTTAAAATGAGAAAGTTGTTGTTTCAGATTCGAAAATCATTGCATGCACCTTTTGTGACAGTGAGATTTAGCTGGATCTCATCATTATTTGCGAATATGTCTCATTTTGTCTCTCACTCTCTCCAGTCAAAGGAATCCTCGTCTGTACTGAGCTGTGATGTGTCCCCAGATGACAAGTATATTGTAACTGGTTCTGGGGATAAGAAAGCCACAGTGTATGAGGTGGTGTACTGAACACAAAGATGGACGGATGGATGAACAAAGAGCGCCAAGCATGAAACAATCATGGATGGCATGGCGGGCAACCATAGCTCTTCTATTTGCGGTCCTTATCTGGTCACAACCATTTGAGAGATAGAAAGAGGCTTTGTTCAGAATTGCATACTACCATACTATTCATACTTTTATACAGAATGTATACTGAGCACAGTATGAACATTTTCTTTATACATAAAATACCCAGATGACGCTGGGTAGTAACGGATTACATGTAATCTGGATTACGTAAGCAGATTCCAAAAAGTAAGTACTCATAATTAGATTATATTACATTTTAAAATGCTCATAATCAGATTACAGTTACTTTTTTAAGGATTACATGATTACATAATATTTACACAATGGCAGCAAATTATACATAATTTAGCGATTTTTCCTCTTTTAAAATTTCTTAAACAGTAGTCAGAATACATTACTAAAATAAGTAACCTAGATTATGTTATTAACTACTATTTTCATTGTAAACTGTAATCAGTAACAAACAACAATTTGTAAGTAATCTACCTAGCACTGCATGCAAATTTTTGCCAAAATGTCCTGTATAAAATACTATGTGGGATACTTTAAGAAAAAATTTGTTGCTACAGCTGTAACTTCATTTTACAATACTTGAATTTTACAATAATGGAAGAATTGTTAGCAACATATTTTTGTGACATTACTGGACAACAACATTGGACTAAAAATGTAAATTAACAAAGTGGACAGCTCTCACTAAATTAAATGTGCAACAATGTAGCATATTACTATATATCTTAACATTCTTTTGATCTTATGCTTTTAGATATTTTTTAAATAGTATGTAGTACACAGTATATTCTGTGAAATATGCAGTATGCTAGTATTCCATTATGAACATAGCGAGTAAGTGGGGAGGAGATCATTAGAACAGTCTAAATGCTAAAAGAGGAAGCCCTACAGACAGCAGGTATTCAGGGAGCTTCTACTTACAGAAACACCAAAACCAGACAATCATTTCATTAGTCGCAAACTCCCTCCATAAAGAGAGCACAACATCTTCCCTCCAATGAGAAAAGACAGTTTTGAGGCTCCTGGCTCACGCTGGAGCATCTCTGGATGAACACGATATGGGTGTACAAACAATTCTTCACTCGCCTATCCAACCCAATTAGACATGTGGCAAATCCCAGTTGAATTCTCCAACCTGCATTTAATTTCCTCCTTCCACAAGTCGGTGTCTAATGAGGAGCAAGGGTAAATCATGTAGGATTCGTGTGGCAAATATTCACAACCACGACCGTTACTCGTTTTAATTCCTGTGGATTACCGTATGGTATGATGTTGCGCTCATTTGTGGTTTAATGCTCATTTTCATGTCATTAATTATCTTTTAGCTTTGCATGGGGAAATCTTTTCATGATTTTTCTACTTCAGTAAGATGATGCAAATACCTAAATATTCAAAACTGGTATATGGTAAGACATCAAAAATTGTAAGAATTGTTCAATTGTATAAAGTAATGTGATGTTTAATGCAGAACAATTAATTACAAAAATAGGTTCCAAGAAATAATGTAAACAACACAGCATGGAACAGAATGCAATTGTGTCTATATGAATATGAAAATTATTTTAATTTGAGGATTGCAATTATTGCTATATCAGTATCAGCAAATAATAGGGATGTCATGCAATTAATTTAAATGCATTTTTTTATGAATTGTTATACCTGAATTCTTCACAAAGTAAATGAGAAATGCTTGAAAATCTGAGCGGTCCTAACACAGAGCCCTGATGTACTCCATCAGTAAGAAGAGCGGTGGTTGCCAACCTGACCAGGAATGTCCAAGGAGAGGCACTACAAGATTCATCTATCACATGCACCAAACATCCTGCTGGGAACAGATTTTTTAAATTAAAGTTTTGTTCATTTTTCTTTTGATCTATAAAGCTTTTCTCAGCACTCAGAAAATGGTTGGATGAGTCAAACCATTTTTTGCTTGTGAACAGAAGGAATTATATTATTAGGTTCTTTCTCTTTTTTATGGCAATAGTAAGCAGTGTTACTACAGTGTTTTGATCAGTCTGTTTATTATGCAGAAAGTGTGGTGTGTTTCTTTTTTGTTTTTCAAATAGCTGAAAATATGGCTGCCTGCAAACAGTGGCATTTGTCCGTTTCAAGACAGACCGTCTTTGCTGCACGATCTCTTTGACATCATGCTATCTGAATATCTGTATCTATCTACCCTTATATAATGCATTATGTTTGTATACTGAGAACAATGTTCACCGACACAATTTTGTTGTCTCTCTCGAAAGCCAAGGAACCTTTTCAAAGGCATCGCTGTGATATCCCTGTAGCACTTCCCATTTGATGTAAAAGACATGTATAAATTGACAAATTAAACTTGTGGTCATCTTTTGAAGTTGTAGAGTTCTTGAGAAGTGTTTCAATATAAAAGATTAAAAAATAATAATTATACAGACAAACTCATGCTAATGTAAAAATGTACAGATTGGAACAGATTGTAATAATTGTATTAAATGTAACTTGTATTTAATAATTGTAATTAGTACTTTATATTGTAGTTTGTTTTATGCATTTTTAAATAGCCATCTCATCAGCAACATGAACGTTACAATTAATGAATTTAATACAATCACATATTTGTACACATTTAAATTTCTTATTTTAAAAATTGTATATAAAAATTTGCATAAGCATGAGTTTTTGGGTCTGCATATTTCTTAAACTTCGCATTTTTTAATTAGCCTTCAAAATGGGTAAATAAATGAGGTAAGTAATTTAATATTTAAACTGTATTCAAATTTGTGTATTTACTAAATGCAGGGTAAATTTTTTTTTAAATGAACAGAATTTTTTACATTTCATCAAATAAGATTTTAAACTATAAATTAATGCAAGTACCCAACAGTATGCATCTTTTGGCTTTTAAAGAGCTTTATTTTACAGTTCATACATACCAAGTTTGCAACCAAAGTCAAAATTTTCAACATGCTCCAACATACAGTATTCACGTGATATGACGTTAACTGAGTGTCTTTATAGCCATTTCCCTGAAGTCAATGAAACACTAAAATCCAGAGCCTTGTTGTCCTACATCATAGTCCATTATCTTATACATCATCCATACAATTATAACACAGAGCCAAGATCAGGTCAGCTTTTAAGGAAACGATCGATGAAGTCTTAGGCCAGTCCTTTAGGTCTCGTCATAATTCATTCATACACTGTGGCTCCATAATCGTCCATTTCCATGAAAATTCCGAAGGCTAAAAAAATAAGATTTCTTTTACTATTATATTCACTACAGAGGTTTCATCTTGTTTAAAAAAAAAGTAAAGAAGGAAAGACAGAAGAAAAGAGGTCTTTGGAGAAATCCCATGTTTTTGAAGCTAGACTACCAGCTTTCCTCACAGCATTAAAAAAAACAACAAGGTCAGACCTGAAGATCCACCATCTGATCCTGGAGTCGTAAAGAACAGCCGTACTGCTGTCAATATTCACATCCATGCCACACCTTTTGTCTCCCAAGTCCAAAGGCAAAATAATGATGAATCTGTTCTCCATCCAATCAGTTTCAGTTTCTCATTTTATTAACAATGTTTTGAACACATTCAGTTTAGTAAATTACTTCATACACAGTAGCCTTCTTATCTCCTGAGCCAGTGACAATGAATTGGTCGTCAGGAGAAATGTCACAGCTGAGGACGGACGACGATTCCTTAGACTAGAGACAAAAACAAGTATTTAGTTAGTACTTTCTGGTGTTAGACAGCACTGCTGATCTGCGTTTGTCTTATGTATCCTGATAAATAGAACAAATAGAAAGTGTATTCAACAATGAACATTTATTTTTGACACACTGTGACAATGTCATAATAAAATGTCATAGTGACAAAAATGGCAATTTAATTATCAGTTAAATTATGCTAAAACTAAGCCATTTGATACTATTACACAGTGCTGGGGAAGCTGATCTGTGTAGCCTGTTGTTTGGAAAGCTAAAATTTAAAGCAGTTTAAGCTACGCTTTCAAAAGCAGTTGGCTAAACTACAAGCTAACTTGAATAGATTTCAATTAAGTAAAAAATAGGGTAACACTTTATTTCGATAGTCCACTTTAGACATTCTATTAACAGTAAGTAACTTTGCAACTACATGTCAACTAGCAGTTAGTAGAGTATTAGTAGACTGTCTGCTTAATATCTTCTAACACTTTCTTTGTCAATGTATTCTACTAACCCTAAACCTACCCTAACAGTCTACTCTGAGAGTTAGTAGACATGTAGTTGCAAATTAATGATAATTAGTTGACATGTAGTTACAGAGTTACTTATAGTTAATAGAATGTCTAAAGTGGACTATCGAAATAAAGTGTAACCAAAAATAGTAAACACAGCATATAACTAAATATAACAATTTTAAAAGATGCACAGAGAATCAAATGAATCTAGTACCAGTACTATACCAGTAGTTTTTGGAAAAAGTAGCTTGTTACTAGAAAAGCTGCAGCATTTAAAGCTTACTTAATGTATTTAGGTTAGTAGTGTCACTAATTTTAGTTAATTACAACCTCAGCACTGTAGTATTTATAGTCAACAGTCACTATTATCCAAACATTACCTGGAATATGCTTGATCCATATGGAGTTCGCCATGCATTCAGTAGATTATCTTTGCCTGTGCTTACAAACCATTTTCCTGCAAAAGTTAAAAGTAATATTTTAGGTACAGTCCTTCAATTAAACAGCCATGTTTTTCTATAATGCTCAACCGTAAATGATAATTTTTTTTTACATTTCTAAGTAAAAACAAGGTACTTTTTAAGAAGAAAAAAATAAACGTACCGCAGTAGGCGAACTTGAGCGAGAGAACACAGCTTTCGTGAAGGTGCAGCTGGTATTTGTCTGGTTTGGAGACGTGCAGCACTTCCACATTACTGCTCTCCATCCCCACTGCAAGCCACTCGCCCGTAGGACAATAACCCAGAGAAAAGATCTGCACGCACAAATAAACACATTTCATGCTAAAAACGAACACAATTTGTTCTCATTCCGATATCTGAACACCCGCTGAACCTCCTGATCCTGTCTTCAAGCATTGAGGCTATGTTCACACCAATCCATATAACGGTTTCAATATGTTCTCCGTCAACACTAGCGTTTTCAAGCATTTTCCAAAAGTTACTCATTCATACTGAAATGTCTGAAAATGCTTAAATCACCTGATGCTGGTAGGTCACATGACAATGATAACATGGGTCACATGACAACATGACGGATATAGTATGTCCGGATTAAAATCATATTACAAAATGAACAAACACTACATAGTTTGTTCTATGTAGTACAAAGTAACATTTATCTTTAGCAACACTATGAAAGTGAACAGAAGCACAACAATGCATCGGATGACAAAACATGCATAAGCATTTTCAAATACCTCCATTTCACAGTTCACACTAAAACATGAAAACAGCTTTTTCAAATTTATCCTTAGTAGAGCGTCTTCAAAAAGCTAAGCTTCCATCTCAATGTGGACACTAGGCCAAAACATTAAGAGGAATAAGATGTATTTTCCAATTTATTCAAGTTCAAAGGTATCTTCAGTGTTCAGTACCTTTGGGAAATATACAACTACTTTTCCTGTGTTCCTTCTGAAATATACAACTACAATTCCTGTGTACCTGTGAGGTGAAGTCATGTTGCTGCAGCTGTCGGCCCTCTCTCAGGTCCCAGCAGCGCACTGTATTGTCCAGACCCCCCGTCCACAGTTTGGTCCCGTCATTGGAAATATCGATACAGCTGGCTCCATCTGTGTGACCTTGGAACTGCCTATAGAGGGCGACACAAGGACATCACATGACATCAGGATGAAGAACATGGTCTATCTCACCAGCAGGAGTCTGAAAATACCTGACGAGCGTCTGGTTGTGCAGGTCCCAGACCACGATGTTTCCATCACTGCAGCAGGAGAAGCAGACCTTGTTGTCTGGACTGATGGCCAGAGCATAGCAGGCCGGAGCCGAGGACGTCAATTCGGCCTTGATTCGTGGAGTGGGCGTGGCCAAATCCCAGATGGACAGCGTGCTGGCCTCACCCCCAACTATCAAAGTCCTTCCATCTGGAAGGAGCTTGCATGAGCGAATGTAATTGTCTCGATTCTGATTGGATAAAAGGACATTGATTTAGTCCAACCAGGATGGCGAGTACCAACTACTAGTAGAGTTTAACATGACGCAGATCTCACCAAACAGTCCAGTTGGGCCATCGGGCTCTTGCTGCCCGGTTGGCTGATGTCCCACACTTTGACGCAGCCTTTCCCGCCAGTGTAGACGTGACGCGTGGAAGTGCTGATGGTGACCGCGCACACCACCTCTCCATGACTGAGGGTGTGGATCTGACGGGCATGACGAGGGATGCCAGGGCCGAGGAGGGCATCAGGAGGGAAGGGCACCGGCTGCATTTGACCATCTGCGCTCACATGGAACGAGTAAGCTCTAGGGGCGGGAAAGAACATTTTGTTTAAGATAGATTCTACTAAGGACGTTTGAGTTGGAGCTTTCAGAATGGAGTCAATTTGACAACAAGAGTCAAACCATTGGGAATTGGCATTGGAAACTCACGGTTTTCCAGAAGCTGCCGACTGCAGGCTAGCAGGTAGCCCTGGTACCCTCATATGGGGGTGAGGAGATTCATAGGCCACCTTGGAAAGCAAAAAAGCAAAAATGTGATTAAATCATAAAGGCACAGGGTAAATGTAACAGTCTCTGTGTTTCTTCTCTCACCACAGGTGAGCGTCCGTATCCAGCGGCGGCTGCAGCAGCGGCGACAGCGGCAGCAGCTGAGCCGTTCATCTGAGGGGAGACGAGATGGAGACCGGCACCGTATCCTGCGGCTCCAGCCAACTCGCCGTTAACTCCTGGGGGAGGAAGGCCAAATGCACCAGGGGGGTATGCGCCCTGCATCGCCAATGGGTTCCTCAGGCCTAATGCTAAGAAATCCAGAAATAGAGGTTAAGGTCGTCTTATATTCGGGCCAATATGGTACTTAAGGTTATCCAGAATTTCATCCTTTTATTGAGGGTTTTTTTCTTCTTTATGTAATTAAGGCAGTTGGACGGACCACACTTACATTTTTGACTTATGCCCTCAAAAATATTAAAACTAATTTTAATTCAGAAATTAAAATTCAAGTCATTGTATGTCATTGCATTCAAGTATGTATGAATTGCATTTTTAATATTAGAATAAATTAAAAGATCCTGACAAAAAAAAAAGTGCGTCACATCATTGTCCCATTAATATCATTCTCGAGAATGCTAGCGGCTCCAGCCAACTCGCCGTTAACTCCTGGGGGAGGAAGGCCAAATGCACCAGGGGGGTATGCGCCCTGCATCGCCAATGGGTTCCTCAGGCCTAATGCTAAGAAATCCAGAAATAGAGGTTAAGACAGAGTTTAAGACAGAAATAGAAGTTAAGAAATAGAAAGGCAGAACATACAGGCAAGGTTTCATTCTCAATGCTGAAGCATATTATAAATAAGCAATAATTTATTGACAAAAATGGGACAAAAAAAACAAACAAACATTATACTAATGCCATATTATGAAAGTTATGTTAGTTTTAAAATATTTTTCTAAAATAATTTTAATAAAAATTAATAAAATTTAAAAAAATTAAAATAATTTTTATAAATATCATGAACATTTCTATCATTTACCACATGACTTTGATTTGGCATGCAAAACTTTGTCAAATATTTACATTTTATACTTTTTTTTGCTTGTTTTTAAAGAAATAATAATAAAAGAATATTGCTAAGTACTAAATGTCTTTAATAGTAAAAAGATTACGCCATTTTTTTTGAGAAATAAGATTATGCCAAAAAAAAAAATTAAAATAATTTTTATAAATATCATGAACATTTCTATCATTTACCACATGACTTTGATTTGGCATGCAAAACTTTGTCAAATATTTACATTTTATACTTTTTTTTGCTTGTTTTTAAAGAAATAATAATAAAAGAATATTGCTAAGTACTAAATGTCTTTAATAGTAAAAAGATTACGCCATTTTTTTTGAGAAATAAGATTATGCCAAACTTTTATTTATTTTTTTGAGAAATAATGAGATTATTCCCAACTAAAGTTGATGTTTTTTTTTTTTATTAAAAGATCATGACAAACTACCGTATTGTCCCGAATATAAGACGATATTTTTTTCTTGGAAATACAAAAAAGTGCGTCACATCATTGTCCCATTAATATCATTCTCGAGAATGCTACAGCAATTACACAGCCTCCAAGGACACATTTTCAGCAAGATGATACAATTAAAACAAGACTTCCTTTCAGAAACAGGAAGACCACTACTGCCCTCTGCTGGCTGACTAGCCATCAACCCACAAGGACATTCAAACCTGGTTCAATGAAACACTACAATTTCAGTCACTAAAGACTTGGACTATCAGGATAACAGGATCTTACCAAGAGGGTCAATGCCTGGCTTCCCAGGAACAGGGCGAAACTGCGGAGGAATGCTGGGGCCTGGGGTGGACGACTCCTGGGACATAGGCGTGCCAGGCTTCATCCCTGGAGTGCTGGACTTCTCTCTCTGGAAGGTTAGGGAACACATTTACACACATTAATTATTCAAGCAAGATATACAGTTGATGAGTCGAAAGATGCAGCGGTAGCCAAACTCAAGCGGAAACTGTCAAGTCTTCGCGTGTTTAGCAAGGTGAGGTATGTTTTGCTGCCAAAGAAAGTGCATCTTTTTGTGCGGGTGGGAAAAAAAAAAAAAGGCGTCGCAGTGAAGGGCTTTGCGAGAATTTAGTTCGGGGGAGGAAAAGGAACTTGCTTGCTACATGAGAAATGCATTTGTTTAACATCAAACGAACATGATTGCGTGTGTTTTTAAGTACGTACTGGAGGAGGCTCCTTGCTGCGTGAAGGGGAAGCAGCACTGCTGGAGGAAGCCAGCGAGGTCGGACTGGCCTGGGGCTCCTTACGGGAAGAAGGGAGTTTATCTAATCCGTTCTCTCTGGAGGAGTACGACTGCACACTCCTTGGAGAAGAAGGGTCCTGAGGGAACGCAATGCACATAACGGATTAATCAGGGGAAAACATGGTCAGCCTTATTTTTAAGTTCATTCTTTAACACAAACAGACCTCGTCAACGACCAAATTGTCATCGCTCTTCTCCGCGTCGCTGCCCTGAAAGAGAACACGCTTCAGAGTTAAGCGCCTCTTTATTTATTCCCTACATGTGCTTAAATCAAATAAAGATCATGTGGATGATTCATAAAAGGACGATGCAGATTTAACAACGAAAGAACACTTACGTAGTCGGTCATAAATTCCTTCTCATCTGCTTTTCTCTTTTTTCCGTTGCTGAGGTAGTCTGAAGGCCTGCCTTTGTCTCCGTTAGAGAGTGAACTCTGGAAGAGGAAGATGAGAAAATGAGAGTGGAAAGGGAGAACGGCGGAGTGAGAGACAGAGGATGTGCGTTTAAGTGTGTGTGTGAGCGAGAAGAAAGAGATAATGATGTAGGAGACGAGGGATAAATCAAATCAGCTCCATAACTGCTGGACCCACAGGCAATAGAGACGCCTAATGCATGGCAGTCTGCACTGAGAGGAACTCAACTAGAAAGAGACAGAGAGAGAGGGAGAGAGAAAACAGACAGATACTACTGATACTCACTGGTCCAGGTTCACGGTCTATGGGGATCATGGGAAGGGCAGGTAAACGTCCCCGTGGCCAGTCAAAACAAACCAAAAAACAAACAATGTGACTATGACGGTTAGACAAAACTCAACCTACACCTGGCAAAACAATTAGCCCCCCCACTAATAATAACAAAAGCATATTCCTTCAAATCCCACTCTTTCATGTTTCATTGATTATATATGAGCTGACAGATTTCAATGACGGTGATTACTCAAGTCGGGTCTATGATATTTTAATCTATAACTCAGATCCCTTCTTCAATGTTTGTCTACTTTTTTTTTTTTTTTTACCCGATTTATCATTCGCCAAGTCCAAATTGTTAGGGGGAGGTGACACTTGTTGTTTGGCAAATTTTCATGGGCGAAATCTAGTCATTTAAATAGGAATCTTCGCGTAATAGCAAAAAAAGTAACCCACACCAAGTTCAAGTTGGTGGATTTGTCACACTGACCAACAGAAAGCTGGTTTCACACAAAATTTCACTGAAATGTCGCTAATGTGACCACAACTATAATCTGACCACTAAGAAAGGTTTTTGAAAATATCTCTGGAATAAGAGATAAATGATTTATAAATCGTGTTTGTAACAAAACAGTGTGGGATGAGTAATAAAGATTCATCATTTGTCTAAATTTATTAAAAAATAATCACATTTTTGGCCGAATTGTACAATCCTACTAACGCAGCAAACCTAGAGTTTTTTTTTTTTAAATCACATTTTAAAATTGCTGTTTTATCAGAAAAATTGTTAGCAGCCCTAAAGCGTAATGTACTAAAATTGAACACTTCACGTTTATAGATTAATTAGTACACACAGGTAAAGAGAGAAAGATTGAGATGTTAAACTATAATTCATGCATGTGTTTACATGCACTTTCGACTGAAACTGTACCAGTCTGGTTTTTGCAGTGTCAAACTAACAGAGCTAGATAAAGTATTTGACACTCAGCTTTGTCCAGCATATACACATGTTAATTGGACAACAGTTGGCCTCTGCATTGTGCGCTTGCTCTGAAAGATCGATCCAATTACGCATTAGTTGTAATCTCACCGATTAAAATATAGCACCATTTTTACTGCACTTGTTAGTTCTCTTCCTGGTGTTAATAAACCAGTCAAGTGATCTGTCAGTATGATTTTATTTGTTATACCTCTGTGGTGTTCGGCTGCTGCCACCGCTGCCACGGCCTCCAAATGGGCTCGCTCATCTTTAGAGGCCAGCTGGGCCCCGAGGGCCCCGGAAAGGGCCAGCAGTCCAGAGCCGCCCCCCAGAGCCAGTCCCGGGTGAGGCAGGCCAGAGGGGTGAGGGGCCATGGGCAGCCCATGGGCAGCATGCTGGGAAAGGTGCTGCGCCTGCAGCTGTTGCTAGAGGGAATGAGAGGAAGAGGATGATGGAGGGATGGGGGGTCAGATAGAAAGGAAAAAAAGATGAAGGGAGTGTGGGAGATAAAAGAGAGTGACACAGAGGCCGAGATGGAAGTGGAGTGAAGAAACAGACAGCCAGAGGAAATGAAAAGAGCATGAGGAGGAGGAGAGAGAGATGAGAGGAAAGGGAGATCAAGAGAGAAAAAACACACAACACAGTTAAGACTTGGATCTGCACCAGAGTTACAAAGGGAATGCATTCATGACCCGTTCCCAGTGTCCTGGGAGTGAGGAAGCCCGTCATACTGGAGTCGACCTGCTCTAACGGATGGGTTCAGGGAACAGAATTGCTGCAGCATTGACTAATGATCACCCCAAAATAAAATTAAAATTAAAATCATTTGATCTGAAGCTGATGACTGCCGTGTGAGAAATCAAAATGCAAAACACCAGAATGAATAAAAATACAGCAAATTAGTGCTGGGCGGTTCATACCGAATACCGGTGTTTATTTTTGTTATGATATGAATTTTTAAAATACCGCAATACGGATGTCGTATGTCGCTTAAACAACGTTCGGAACGCGACACTGTTTGAAAGGGGTCCCTTTTCACTGTTGCACTGTGGTGAGGGAACAGCTGTATGTGTTACTAAGCGTGAAAGTTCCGAAACTGAAGCTGTAGAACTAATAGAACATGATGACACAGAAGAACTCATCCACAATATCCACATTGACCAAAATATGGTTAACACCCGGTCATGCATGAAAAAAAATACCGTCATGTACCGTGAAACCGGTATAATTTTGAAAAATACCGTGATATACATTTTTGGTCATACCGCCAAGCACTACAGCAAATCATACATAAAGAATTGTAAATGCTTCACACCAATGGGATGCTAAACTTTGTTTAGTTTTTATTGTTGTATGAAAACTGCTGTGAGAAGAATCTGCGAAAATGTCTCTTTTTGTGTTCCAAAGGGAAAATAACAGCATATGGATTTGGTACCACATGCAGGTGTCGATTCACAACGACATCATCCTTTGCATTAATTAGTTTGAGCATCCTGCCATTTTCTGGATGGCTTACACAGTTAAACACAAGTCTAACTTGAAAAAATTCATAATTATGAATTTTGAAAATATGGAGTTTTGCACATCTGACGCCTAGTTATAAAAGTGTTACTTCGCACGCTTTCAAACATATAACCAAACTTAATCCAAAAAAGAAAATAGCAAAGAGAACTCAAGAGGAAAATGTTAAATAAAAAGGATGAAAAGATGGAAGTACACACTGTGGGAGGCAGAGGGGGGAGTCCACGTACCCCTATCGACGCATTCAACTCCCCCATAGTCACCTGTTTGGCGCGCTCCATGGCTTGGACCACCTGCTGCTGGTGCTGTGGATGGAGGTCAAAAAATGGCCGTCAATGATAAACAAACAACAAGCAACAAAACAAGGCAGATGGCCACCCTAGTGCATCTTTGTGTACTGTGTGATTTTCATTTTCTGGAACGTGTGTGCTCACACACATACACGCAGGGTTGCATTTTGCATGAATACACAGACTTAAAACATGAGGGAGAAGTTGTTTTTCTTCTGTCAGGAAAAGCTTTGGGCAAACCGTAAGCGTTTTTGTGGAAGTGGGTTTACAAGAATAACAATAGGCTTCCCAGAGGCATCCGAATGAGAGACTATGTGAGAACGTGAGGAAATATGAGAGGAAGAGAGAAAAAAAGTGTGACTGCATGTGTGTGAGAAACAGAAAGAGTGATATTGTGTGTGTGTGTGTGTGTG